AACAGAGACTACACAGGAGCCTTGGGATTTAAGGAACAAGGAGGTGAAAATCATAAGTTTTCTTTTTTTATCGGCCACGTCCTCTGGATATGTGCTCAGGAAACCAGGGGCCTCATAGAACCTAGAATAGGCACAGCAGAAAACACCACAAAGACAGCAAACGTCCTTTGGTGAAGGAACCAGGAGAAATGGGCCCAACAAGAGGAAACTTGTTTGAGAATGTGCACCGTCCTTTAACCACAAGCTCCTTGGAATCTGCTGGGTAGAAGCAGGGTGTCTCTGATTCTCCTTCTGGAGTCATGACCCTGGGATTCGGCAGAGAGCTTAGCAACCACTCCCACTATCAGCAGGAAGACTCCACAGGATGGTGTAATGGGATACTAACCAACTCTCCACTCTGAATCTACTCTCAGTGAGTGCTGGATTTCTGCCTTCCTTCGGCCTGGGCTAAGTGGTGTCTGGTGGGGCTGACGCTGCATTGAATAGAGGAAGATGGAGTGCTTTACCTCTAAGATGTGCTGTTTAAACACTTCTGGGCAGCACAGAGCCTGAAGACTTGGCTAGAATACGAAGCCAACAAATGGCATTTATTTAAAGACATGTAGACTGGAAGGGAGAAATACTCATTTGTAGACAGCATGGCTATCATAGAATGACTTAAAGAATATGTAAAAGGATGAATTTTTGAAGGTCACCAGCTACCAGATTAATCAACACTGCAAAATCAATAGCATTTCTCTACTCTAGGAACCAATTATGTATAAACCAAGGTGAAATAATTATATCAAATACAATTGTTCCAACTCAGATAAAATACCTAGCTATAAATATAACAAACTATGAACAGAATCTATGCACTAAAAGTTATAAAACACTAATGAAATAAAGGAAGGATTATCCACATTGACAGTAATATGTACCTTGTTCACAAATTAGAAAACTCAGGAAAGGAGAGTCCTGAATTCTCCACAACTGGGATACAATTTAACATGGTACTTATCAGAATCTGAACGAGCTTAACCTATAATTTATGTAGAAATGCACAAGAACCAGGGCACATAAAGCAATTGTGAGAAAGAGGAATGGACTGGGACTAGCTCTCCACTTAGCAATGAGGCTTTCTGCAGTGACGTCATAACAGAACCAATGTGGTGTTGGTAGAGGAGTAAAGACACACACACACACACACACACACACACACACACAGGAGAGAGAGCGAGAGGGAGGGAGAGAGAGGCAGAACACCTAGAAACATGCCAAATATAACTAACTTTGACCAAAGTATCAATTTAATGGGAAAAGAATGGCCTTTTCAACAAATACTAGGTTGGGCATGGATAATTGGAAGACTTCTCCCTAAACTCATATCTTATTTTAAAATTAGACAAGATTGACTGTCAGTTAAAAGGCAATAAGTAAACCTATGAAATTTTTAGGAAAATGAAGAAAAATCTTGAGAGCCAAGTGGTACTCAGAGTCTTACATGTGACATATATCCATCACACTATACAGTGACTTCTCCACTTGGTAGTTAAGAGTCTCCAAAACTAATTGTGGTGTCATCATTAAGTAGTGATAGCAACACTTGTGAAGGAGTAACCCAGTCTTGGGAGTACTTACTGGCAGCAATGTTTTATGAATATTTTACCAAAATTAACATATTTTTATTTTATTTGTAAAACATTTTCTTTTTTCAATTTTGTGTGTATGCCTGTTCTATCTGCATGCATTTGCAATGCCTGAGGAGGTCAGAAGAGGGTGTCAGATTCCCTGGAACTGGAGTTATGAACAGTGGTGAGTCATTTTGTGGATGCTGGGAGCTGAACCTGAGTCCTCTGTAAGAGCAACTAATGATCTTAACCTCTGAGCCACCTCTCCAGTCCCTACATTTAGCCTTTATGGAGATCCCAGGAGACAGGGCCTGTGATTGACATTTATGATTAGGCATTGAAGACACACAGAAACTGAATAGCTAGAAACTGCCAAACCGGGCTCTGAAGCCAGGGACATCTGCTTCTGGATTCTGTGCTCACTAAGTCTGTGCTCACTAACTCTGGGCTGTGTTTCCCTTCACAAGTGTTTATACATTTTTTTTAACTTTTTCAGAATTTGAAGCATCTGGAAAGGGATTTGATACTTTTAGAAGGGAGCATATCCTCCTTGGTCCTCTCTGTCAGACAGTTTTAAAGGTCTAGTCATTTTGCACACTTGGGCAAGACTACAGTTAATGCATTATGGGAGTTTCATAGCCTTTGTTCTTCAGGATAGAGCCTGTCTTTTCAAGAAATGCATAGGCACTGTCTGTGAATTCAGGGCAAGTTCAGGAGCTTGTTTATCTTTGACGTGATGAGGTCACTCCCCGAGTCTAGGGTTAGTTTCAGCCACGACCAGGTGGCTTCCACTGACTGCTTGGTGTTGTGACACGTCACCTGGTGTTTGAGTCACAAACTTGAGGCCCTTGCTTACCCATATTATGATTCTGGGCAAGTTTCTTAATGTCTTGTCTCTTCTTTCCTTCCTTGGAAAATGGGAAACGTCTATCTCATGGTTGTTGGGGGACTTAAGGGGCGGAGAACACAGAATATAGCTCAGTGTTTAGCACATTTGGTTCATTGCCATTATCTGAAATGTTGCTAGGTAAGGTGAGGGCTTCAATGTGACCCCCAGAATATACTACAACTTTCTTCAAAGTTAACTGAGGCATTTATGACAAAACATGAAAATATCACAGTGTGGTAGTGTATGATTGCTTCCGAATAAAACCGCATAAATTCCTGAGATTAGTGAAATTCATGTGGTCTAGAGAGCACATATAGAAAGTTTTATGGCAAAAAAAATAATAATGGATCTGAGGTATTTAAAGCCACACAGGGACATAGATATTCTAATCATATTGGAGGGGAGTATTTGGGGCCCTCAAAACAACGTGAGGAACCTAGAGGCGTAGACAGGAATGAGGTTGTATGCTATTGAAACATTCGTATGAGTGGAGAACGTATCTACTGATCTTTACGGTCCCAGTACAGACCGTAATAATTGCTTATGGTATGAATTTTAATAAGGAGAATGAGAATTCCGAAGTCTGTGTCCTTACTCGCTTCTGTTCCTGCCTCACCTGGCCTCACACCGCGTACCCTCCGTGTTTGATGGGTGTACACATGGGGTTGGACAGCGACAGGTTGGTCCTATTTTGGAGCATGCTGAAGGTGACTTTTGCTCAGGGTAGCAGTGTGTCCTCATAAATTTTCCCTTCTCCTCTCTCTGCTCACTAACCTGCACACGTTTTTCTCTGACAGTTTAGATTGGTCTTCAGGCCTCAGGAAAAACTGGAAAATCTCAAGTATCAAAGTGAGTCCAATGTATTTCTGCACATTACCTCAGCTCTATTTTGTAAGATTTAACCTTTCCCAGTGTGAGAGCCTTGTTAAGAAATTTACAATAACAATTAACAAAGATAGACATTTCAATTGATCACTACATTGATTTTACAGTTCACTGAGCACTCTATATTGGATTTTTATTTTTGTTCCAATTAGCACTCTTTGGAGCTTCTAAAGGGGTTTCCACTCCTGATTACAACCTTTTGTGGTTTCAGTACCTTTACTTGACTTTCTTCTCAGTGTTTAAGAAGCTGTACTAAGGGGTCTTAAAGGAAATAAAGGGTATATGCTTTTCCATATTGTTTATTTACAGAGCACTCATTTAAATAGCTATAAGCACCAGGAACACAAGAGGACAGTTACTTGTGAAAGGTGTCTCTAACTTGGAAAGATTCACTCTCTTGTCTAGCATAGATCAACTTCCCCTCAGTTTACTATGCCATACGTATTTCAATATCGATACAACAATATCACTTCACAATCCAAAGGTTAATTCTGAGGCCAATGAACACGAGTCATTTGGAGACTTACTCCAGTGAGAACCCTTATATGGGGCCCTAAGAGCCAATCTGCACTACTCAGGGCCTTGTACTGTGACTTGACAAAGCTTCATGGTAAACGTGCTTTGCGGGGCCCTTTTAGCTGGGCCTTCCCATTTGAATTTATGGCCTTTGTGCTAAATAACCATAGAAGCAACCATGTGGTCTGCTAAGTCCTACGGTAAGGACTCTCAGTGGTGACACTCTTGAGATTTGGGCTGGTAGAGTCTCTGTCGTGGTGGGTGGGGCACTCCTGTGTATTGAGTGATTCTTAGCAGCAACCCTGGCCACTATCTTTGACATCCCAATAGTACTTCTTCTTGATTGGGGTCATGTCAACCGAAGATCTCTTCAGATATTGTCAGATGCTTCCAGAGGGAGGTGGAGGTCCATAGTCACTTGTGGCTTTAGAGCCACATGCCAACTGCGGGACTTGATAGTTTGATGGTTTCTTTACCTGAAAATGGGATCATAATACCCATGTTTTAGGGTTACTGAAGTTTCAACTACATCAGGAACAAAAAGCCTCCCTCCTGTCCTTCCTCCCTCCCTCCCTCCCTCCCTCCCGTGCTCCCCTCCCTCCCTTCTATTTCTTTTGTGATAGAGTCTGTTATATTGCCTAGCTTGGCCGCATTATACTCTGGCCCCGACACTGGCCTGGACCTGGCCTCCTCCTGCCTCAGCCCCCTCCCACGTGTTGGAATTAAAGGCATGAGCCACCATGTCTGGCTGGTCACTGCCATTCTTAAATTTTTTTCTAATTTATTTATTTATTTTTATTTTATGTATCTGAGTATTTTGCCTACATGTATATACGTGCACTATATGTGTACAATGCCTGTGGAGGCCAGAAGAGGGCATCGGAGTTCCAGCGACTGGAGTTACCAGTGGTTATTACCCACAGTGTGGGCGCTGGGAACTGAATCTGGACCCTCTGCAAGAGCAGCCATTGCTCTTTAACCTCTGAGCCATCGCTCCAGTCCATCACTGCCATTCTTTTTGATGAGTTCCAAAAAACTTTTCCAGTACCAGTCACTCCTACTTACGTGAGGGCGTCTCCTCTCTCTCTCCCACCCTGCAGAACATGATGATTGTAGCAACGGGCAGCACAACTGTGACAAGAACGCGATCTGCACCAACACCGTCCAGGGACACACTTGCACCTGTCAGCCGGGCTATGTGGGGAACGGGACCATCTGCCGAGGTAGGCTTGCTGTGTTGTGGGACAGCCTCCTGCTGCCGTGCTCCCTGGGCTGTCCGTGCTCATGGGGAGAGCCTCACTGCCCCCGTGATGCTGAGCACAGCCCGTTCCTGCTCCTGATCTATCTGCTGACTGGGGCACTGTGCATGAAAGCAAGTCTTAGCAGCTGTGTTGTGGGCATGCATAAGGGCACAGGTCCATAGACTCTGTCTGGTTTTGCCTTTCTTAGAAACTTGAAACTTGTGGGGAAAGTCCTAATTTTTAGGTGAAGTTTAAGTGCTACGAGTTGTGCATAGGGATCAGGTGGGCATCAGTCCTGCCCACATTGGAAGTACCTGCTTGACAGAGAAACTTAACACTTAAGAACTCGCACTTGAAGTTCACCCCAGTGTTTTGGCTCTGCACTGCGTTTAGGGTAACAGTGTAGCCCTCCTTCTTATGGGAGTACAGGGCCTTGCTCCTGGCTCCCTCCCCTCCGCTGACTGCTCTCTGCCCTCCCTCAGTCCCTCTACACAAGAACACTGGTTCCTGCTCATCCCTGAGCCTCCATGGATGCTCAACGTCTCTGTTCTGATGTAGATGCATCACAGAAATATGAGATGATTGTGTCGGTATTGGCATCCTCAGTGTTTCTTAGCCCAATCCTCGTTGGATTTGCTTTTCATAAGCAAGCTGACTCAGCACTACACATGTGTGTTTGTCTCTGAATTTTCTGCCGTGCGGTGAGAGTGCAAGTGAGCCTTCTCCCTCAACTTCATCTCTAGGAATGGAACGCACCTGACATGCTATAGTCCTCTGCTAACTATGTGTTAACCAGTCCAATCAACCAAAGAGAACAGAAACCCAAACCAGGAGACAGTGTAAAAGTATCACCTCTGCCTCTCAGAGGTGATAAATTCAGACAGAGAGGCATAGCCACTTACCTAGTGATGCACAGCACGTCATCAGAACTACTCTGCAGAGATATCATATTGCTCATGAAAACAAACTACAAGGACTAAGTTACCATATTTGTGCCTTGGAGCGGTGGGGAGAGTTAAAGGATTAATTTGCATGATATGCACAGTCACATGTCTAAGAGAGTGAAACCAGGAAAGCTGCCTTCAACACCAATATACCAACATTCAAAGCATATTTTTCTTTATTCCCTCAATTCTTACCTCTTAAGATACATTCTAGAGGCTGGGCTTGGTAGTACAATCCTGTGCCTGTAAGCCAAGGCAGACAGTTGTAAATTCAAGGCTACTCAAGGCTTGCAGAATGAGTTTCGGGCTGATCTGGGCAACTTAGTTGGATTCTGCCACTAAAGAAAAAAAATAAAATAGAAAGTAAAGCAAAAATAATAGAGAGCTGAGGTTATAGCTTAGTGATAGAACACTTGCTTAGTAGATATGAGGCCCTGAGGTCAATACTCAGTGCCAGAGAGCGAGACAGACAGATGACAGACAGACAGACGTATTCTAGTAAATTACACAAAGAAAGACAAATTACATAGAGAGATGTTGTAATATTATACACATAGTGAGTTACAAAACCTCCTAATATCCATTAGTAATGGAATACTTGTTAAGTTAGCTATATTTACTCATAAAGTAGAATGCAGTGGTTTAAAACTATAATCATATATATACATATATGTATATGTACACACATATACATATATATATATATACAAAATTTATACACATATGCACACTCACAGACATGAACATGCACACTGGGAGACATTTAAGACTATTTTAGGAAAAAAATAAAATCAAGTTGCAAGAGCGTGTATCTAGTGCTAGTGCCTATCTGACTTATTACTTCTGAATATCTGCGCACCTCCTTATGTAAAGACAGAAAACATGCAGCTCATATGTCTTCTTACCCGCGGACATTTGAACAAAACAGCATTCACCTGTTGATATGAATTCCATATTATTTGCTTGTCTTCCAATAGGAATTAATGTATGAAGTATTTATATCCTTCTTAAAATGTTCCACGAGTGCTGGGTTTTTTAAAGGCTGATGAGGCTATTTCTAAAGCAAAGCAAAGCAAAGCAAAAGTATTCACCTATGCCTGTGTGCTGTCTGGTCCCTGCCTGCCATCGCTATGACTCTAAGAAGCAACTTGGGGCTGGTTTTAGTGGCTCTCGCCCTAGAATTCTGTTACTTCATGAAGTAGCATTAACTGCTTTTGTTCAGTGCACTTGCGGTGGGCAGGCGGTCCTGCTGTCCTGACATGCAGCAGCCTCACGTTTGTGGAGTTTGTCAATCCAGCCTGAAAAGTGGGAGTTGAGATACTGACCCGGTGTCTGCAGACTCCAGGTGTGACAAGCACATCTGCCCTCAAATGTCATGAATTAGAGGGGAGTCAGCCTGATTCCTATGGTCAGTCACGCTGACCTCTGTGGAAGGACAGTCCTGTGTCTGATGAATGTTGCCATGGGGGAAGCCATGAAGTGCAGCCAAAGAACCAGATGAAGAGCTTGGAGGTCGGCACTGAGTCCTGCCTGCCTTAGGGGCACATGCAACATTTATATATGTTCAAACTGAGATGGTCTTTCCAGGCAGCTGATGTCCCTGTATGCAGTGTTCACTTTGTGGGATGGAAAGAGCTTTAATAACTATCTGTGGCTCACATGTGCTATCTCACCCCCCTCCACCCCACCGCCAAACCCTGGAGCTCTGAGAGACTGACGTCATCACTCTGCTCAAAGATATGGCCAAATCTGAATTAACTACTGAGGTAGTGGGGGATTTTCCATTTCCTTCTGCTCTGCCCCCTTCCTTCTCTTTCTTCTGTTCTTCCCCCAGATACATTATATTTCCCTCTCCCCCTCACCCCCTCCCC